ACCCTATACTCTACAATATTTTAAAAAATAAAAAACGGGCAATATGTGTTACAATTCTTATCGCTTATTGGTATAACTATTTCTATTTAACGATGAAATATTAATATGATTAGTTTATGATGCTCGAAAAGGGACGCGTCTCCTCGCTCCATGGCGCGTCAAGCCGATCACCCGGAGCGTAGAACGCTTGGCACGGCAGTCTACGCGCTGTGAAACGGAGCCTTTAGAAAATAACGCGATAACATAATAATTAGTTTATTAAAACGATAAAGCAAGAGTAAAGAGCAAGTTAAGGTTACGTAAACAGGAACCCGAAAATGTCCGTCTATCATAAATTACGACTATGAACTTTACCAAAATTTCTCAGTAAAATTTCAAAAATTATTTACCTACTAGGTATATCCCAGTAAAGATAAAAATAATTGCATTTCTCTTCTAAGTTAATATAATTATAAACAATAATAACTCAATAATACATTAACGAAATAATAGACTTAGGATTACACATTCCAATAATATTTGCGAATTAATGATAATTATGCAAGAGCTTAAGTTAAGTGGTACAATTGATTAGTGATTTAAAACGACAACAAATATTGTTATCTCATCGTCAGAATGCNTGAACATATGTTTTAAACGTTTTAAATTTGTTTTAAACTAGTTTTTTTTATCGTAGTCTGTTGACCTAGTTAAGTTTCTGTTTCTAACATGTCAACCCTCTGAGATGTTTATTTCGTATCTTACCAACAAGTACTTTTACCCTGGCCGAAGGAATTTAAAGAATGTTTAATGTGTCACATTTTTTTGTTTTAAACACTATTCAATACACTTTAATGTGTTGTTATTTAGATTGTGTTTTAAACAGTGTTTAAGAAACGTGTTTTAAAATTATTTGTTTTAAACATGCCAACCCTGCTTTCAATAGAAGTGGACGTACATATAGGGCTGTCTCTTTTACGTTACCCTAACTTAAACACTGTTAAAACACTTTCTAAATAAAACATGTCTTAAATAAAGATTATTTCAAACAAAAACAAAAAAGAAACTTGTTGGTTATGAAATAAAGAAAACATCTCACAGTGTTGGCATGTTTGAAGTACGTATTTTAAACACTGTTAGAAACATAAGTAATTAATGACGTTATTAATACACGATAAAAAAACTTTTTTAAAACATGTACAATGTACTCAAATTAAAGATAAAAAATTATTTAAAACACCTGAACACATATTTAAAACGTATTCAACACAATTTTAATAAAAAACTGTTTTTTTCCAACCCTGTAGTCATGGCAGAATCCAGGGCTTATTACAAGCTATTTATGAATTTCCATACCTCAGAAATCATAATTTTCTTTTCGTGTTTATGTCGACAGACCAAAGTAGACACAATCTCATAAGTCCAAGCTCTCAGTCACCCGATAACCCTATACTCTACAATATTTTAAAAAATAAAAAACGGGCAATATGTGTTACAATTCTTATCGCTTATTGGTATAACTATTTCTATTTAACGATGAAATATTAATATGATTAGTGAGTGCCTAATACACTACGATTAGCAACAAACCGCGATAAGTTATGATGACAAACGACTTAAATATTGTGATTTACGTGTTATTAAAAACTCAACAATCAGGTGGAACTACTTAAAATTATATTTAAGGATTCGTATTCGTGAGAATTTTAATTAATTTACGTTAATTTTAATTATAGTAAAATTAGTAAAATTTGTTTCTAACACAGATCTGAATAAAAAAGGTACTACACAAAATTTTTGCAAAACGAATAGTTTTCCACATATAAGGCTGCATTCGTTTCACACACCGCCTTTGAGATAGAATTCAAGGCGTATTTATTTTACGTGGTATTTCCTGTAGGCCTAATCCGTGGGTAAATTATGCCATAATTTTAATGATTATTGTTGGTCTTCACTAACTTCCCGTTCTTCCATATTTTCAGTTATCATCTCAGCGTAAGATAACGCAATGAGATTTCATCATCGTTGAATTCAAATTAAACGATTATCTGACCTCGATAAGAACCACACACTATGGAACATAGCAATTTTACTTTTCTGCATCCACAATTGATGTCATTATACAATTCAGAGACCAGATTCAAATTTGGGTGGGAAAAGATTTAGACTCACAGCAAAAGGGTTTGTCTCTTATTTTCCGCTGAGATTATGCCGATGAAAATGAAAATATAAAGGAACAAGTCAGAAATGGCGAACAAAAATAAACAAAATAGATTAGGTCTAAAGGAGATACGATCTAAAAAAAGAAAAACGCGCCTTGCATTCCACTTCTAAGGTAGTATGAGAACGCGGGCAGCGCAATGCCCAGGTTTTCGCAGCAGATAATTAGCTTTAAAAATTGTTTTCGTGACCTTTGACTACCTCTAACTTTTGCAGTCATCCAATTGGCTTTATGTGCGGAAAATTTTCGATTTGAATTTTTGTAAAAGTTAATGGCGTAAAAAGACCGGACTACATGAGAAATTACGCAGTAAGTTGTTAATTTCAAATGCAGAGGCTAACTGTGTAAAACCAACAACAGTTTCATTATAGTCGGATGGCAGAAAAACACTAATAAAGGTAATCGTATACAACGGATCGGACGCGAGTTTCCCACGACGTGTTGGCCCGGCCCGGTGTGCAAAATCACGGGCGGTGCGAAGTCACCTTTATTTTCACGGAGAAGGCTTGTCCTAATACAGGGTGAGCCAATGAAACGCCACTGCACAAAAATAGAGAGAAGGTGGGCTGGTGGCCTAATGACTCACCCTGTATATTGGGCGCGGAAACCATTCCTTTAGATAGTTTTACAGATTTAAAAAAAGTAACTAAAACAACCAAACCCAACATACACCTAATCAAATGAACCAAAAATAAGTTTTTCTTGGCTCGCATTGCTGTAAGCAAAAGAAATGAGCGGCAATGGCAACACTCGCTTCGTTCGTGCTGTCCTTTCCTATTGGAACCTCATATTCCTAAGCGATGAAAAAAAAAGCATTATTCAGTTAGTTAGGTAGGGCCTCAAGGGCATCTGAAGGTTTATGCCGTTCTAAACTACCCAAATAACTTAAGATTCATTATTGTGTATATGCATTATTAACAGAGATAATAACGCTAATCAAAAAACAAAATTTTAACAAATGGCAGATATCGATAGACCAAATTTCAATCAAATCGTCTTCGCAATTACATTAAAAGAAAGATCCTAAAAATCAGTNGGGGAACCAATTAATGAAACCAATGAGAATTACACCCCTCACATTTGGGGTATACTGAATTATTTCAATACTGATCCTAATCGAATATACAATTAAGATTCGAAAATTTTTAAGTTTTTAAAAACCAGCAAAGAAATTACGTAAAAACAGATGCTTGTAAAAACTCAATTGTAATGTAAAAGTTGATGTATACTCGACCTTGAACGCACATGCATATTACGAACAAATAATAATGATAATGACTTTAATTGTAAGCCAATGCTAGACTTGCACACATACAGTAACTAGCAAAAATAACGAAAATTAAACAGGGTATAGCCCAAATGACATCGCATATTTTCTGCTATGTATGTTACATACATAAACAAGATTTAAACGCACTGTAGATACAATTAATTTACACATATGTTTAGAATAATATTTGCTATCGTTGTTCTTTTCCCGGAGAATATTTTAAACAGAAAACAATAGGTTGAATTTAGTCAACTTAATCCACATTTTTACGATAGTAAAATATTACAATACCACTTTTGCAAAGCATTTACTGATAAAAGTGTTTTTCAAAAGTTAATTTGTATGATTCATCAAAGAAAACCTAGGTACCTATAATAACACTAGATAATTAATGAAACCTTTTGATATAAAACCTGGTTTTTAAAATATAGAAAATATTCAGTAAGATGCATACATACACGGAATTCTCTTTTTATTTTTTGGTTTTGTTGATGGAACCGAATATTATAACATTTCGAAAAAATTCAGCTCAAAAAAATAAAAATTCTGCAGAAGCAAAGCAACTATATACTTGATAGGTACGTACCTAGTTGAAAAGATAACAATAGGTCGAAAGGACACTGAATTAGTGAAGAAATTTACAAGATGAAGGAATGATTAATAAAAATAATCCATGACGAACTGTGGGGTCGATAAAATTGGTAGGCTACAGACTATATCTATGATATAATATTATAGGTAAATGTGTTACCTATTTACCTACCAAAGCAGTACTAGGAAAAAGAAAGTGAATTTATTAGTCGTGTCATAAACAAAAGTCATGGTCAGATGATGATGTAATTTGATTGATCACACCAATAGTCCCAGTGACAAATGTTAAAGAGGCAAAAATGCGAAAAATATTTGTGATATAATACACAAATGATGAGCTGAAGCAAAACAATGAATGGGTGCGACGAGTTTTTCGAAAAATCGGCCAAATGAAAACTCACCAGCAGGTAAAGTGTATAACAAACTATCAAGATAGAAGGTATCCGAATTGTTTATCATTTAATCGTGCCTAGTATGGCCAGGAGCTATAACGAGATGCCAGAAAATTAACCTCGACCTCAAGGCGGAGAAATAGAACTGTACAAGAAGGTAACAGCACACCATATGCAGCCTCAATACGTCACAAATTATTCACGATGCAGACGACGTGGTTCTCGCGCAAAACTTCAAAAACTACAGCTGATCGGGCTGTCAACATGTTGCCGTACTATCACACCCACTGCAGCTGTAGCTGTCAATATTCACGCACTTTTGATTGCGAACTTCATTGTTTACACTTACGCAATCATTTTAATCCGAAGAATGCCCCTTTCATTTGCGCTAGGTACAAACCGAAATAAAAACAGCATGTGTGATGACAACTTCACGGACACAAACGTCATTGCGACAATTGATACATAGTATAGATACGCAACAATCGTTAAGTAACCGCCACTGATTTTCACAACAATCAACAATGCAACAGCACAAAAAAATTACCTGAGCTAAAATGTGAACGTTTCGAATCTACGTTCTCGATGTCCCCGTCCAGAGGTCTTTTCCTGGAATCGGCAATTTCTGGCGACGGACACGTATCCATTCCCGAATCGGCGGCCATCTTGAAAGTTTAGATGTCCATTAGCATAAAGCGTTTATTCGCGGCGTTAGTAGGTATCTTTCAACTTCGCTAGCGCTCGAAACTTACCGTAGACAAGACAGATTCACAATGCCACTAGAGCCGTGAGGCGCGTTCTGTTGATTTTTACTAACTCTGCCTTCGGTCAAATTATTATTATTATGTTAAAACGACCCCCCCACCTTTTTCACTTGCAAATTTAAATTCTTCCGTCTAATAAACTCTTGTTAACGATGATGCAGCATACTGCCAATCATAAATCACAATTTCAATAATTCCGTACGGCCAATAAAAACGTTTTCCAGCTAAAACTAACAATGCTTGTAACAATTACCGACTATTTGGCCAATACAAACGGTATTTTAGCTAAAACTAATAATGCTTGTAATAATTATAGATAGTCTAGCCAATAAAAACGTTCTTCAGCCAAAAATGACAATGCTTAGTAACAATTACTGTTTATGCACAAAATTTTAAAGCTTATCTTTTCATCAAAACAGTAATTAATTTTTAAAAATGCCGCTTTGTTAAAAAATATATATTTTTTAATATTTACCCATTGATTATTGCTTCGACCCTCCAACACTATAAATTCATTGGAACGACCACAAATATGTAGATGGGTTAATGAAAAGCGACATAAATTTTAAATGAAACGATTTCTGAAACGACAACACGACAAAATGTATATGACATTTGATTTAACTAAAAATAATGTAACAAAAACACAGATAACAAGATATTTTACCCTAATTAAAAATGACAATTGTTTGTGGTCAAATTGTCCGAAATGAAGTTTCCTGAATCGAAAAGGCCGCAATGTATTAAACAAACACATAATTTCACTTTCGTTGCAATTTCAAATTAGACTACGTTAAATTTTACGATTAGTTAAAGTTTCCGCCGCTTTAGGATTTTAGGAATAAAAACATGCAATTACAAAAATACTTCTTTTTAATTAATAAAGCCTTGACATTATTAATGATAACATTATGCTGAGTTATCTAATGTTATCATATATTGCTTTTATTCAGAAAGTTTTGCTGTTATGTTCTTTCGATAATTGCTGCCTCGTAATTTTGCAAAATCTGAACCTTAATCAATCCTAATTAATCAGTTACAAAGCTTACGCCTTGCAGGTTGCCTACTATAAAAATTAAATTTACCGTTCATTCTTTGTTTCTTGTTATCTAGCAATCAGGTGTTTGTTAGTATATGGTTAGTATTTAGTATGATTGTTAGCCATTGTTAACATTACGAGTCAGCGTTGCGTTGATATTGTGATTTAAGTTTCAATAAGTCTCTAACAGTCTAATAAGTGTTGTGGGTGTTGTGAAAATGGCGAAGATGCTCAACACGGTGTTGTTCATTTTAATATTTTTTTGTGTTAATGGGGAACCAATTAATGAAACCAATGAGAATTACACCCCTCACATTTGGGGTATACTGAATTATTTCAATACTGATCCTAATCGAATATACAATTACAACGTTGGAGTTTTAGAAAATGCGCAAAAGGTTAGAAATTTATATATCTTTTTATTAATTACTTAATGAAGACAGTAGGTAGTTGGTCTTAAGATATTAAAGAAAAACAGAGACCATGGGGTACATAAAAAATAGAAATGTTTGTCACATGACAAATGTTTATATTTATCCTATTATGTATTTATCACTTAAAAGACGGTTAACCTTGTATCGCAAAACAGTTTTTGTTATTAATTTTATTTGTTATTTAGATAAGTAGAATGGTCTAATGTAATAGTAACTGCATGTGTGAGCATCAGTTACATAGTTTATCTAAGAAATTATTGATCAAGCATAAATGATGCAACTTTATTTTAGACTGAAAAAGGCTTATTTTTACAAATCGAAGTTCAAGTAGAATGTCGCCTTAATCCAAACGATCCTCGATGTGGGCCCAAAGTGCACACATGTGAGGCATTCATTGAAAAAATAGAAGGAATTGACAGGTATGAAATATTGCCAGGGGCTATCTGCCATCCCAAATATGAACCCACTGAAAGGGGTGAATTAAATGGAGAAGTCCCTGTACAAAGAAGTTCTGTGCTGCAGGTTAATGAGGAGCCCACAAGCTCAGTAAGTGCTACCCACAAGCTCAGTAAGTGCAATAACAAGCTGATTATTATAAAAACTCAAAGAACTAAGAAAGCAACATATCTTCTATTATCATAAATTTATATCTTTAATTTATTCATATCAAAAAACAAAATTGTTTTCCAGAAGCTTTCAATGGAGAAAAGTTTATATATAATAATTAAAAAGTCAAAATATTACATTCTATTGATAGTAAAAATACAAAGGAATATATTCCTACTCCTTATCAAATTCTTCATTTTTTTTTTAATGTTATGATAATTTTGGTTACTTAAATTCATTAAATTAGATCATTAACAAAGTTACTGCAATAAAGTTTTATTTTTTCCCTTATTTAATTTAGCAATTAAAAGTGGTAGCATTCTATTCGTAATAAGCTTTTCTATCATTATATATTCTTGTAATTTAATTCATGATTACAAAACATTATATTTTCTTGTTTAAATACCTGACTTAGCGATTGGGGCAAAAACATATTATAATCACAGTTTGTATTTTGAAATATTACCCTTCAGAATAATTCATTATTTAGGTTCAAGCAAGCAATGAAGCTTCGCCATCAGGTGAAATTTCTGACGAGTTCGTAGCTGTACGCCGCAATTCTAATCAGTGTTTGGGATGTGTTATTGATCTTGATAAAAATGTGGAAGGATTACCTGATTTAATAACAACTGCATTAAAACATCTCGAATCAGAGCGCGAAAACAAACATGTACTCTTAAATGTATTAAGGGTACAACAACAAGTGCGTTTTTTAAAATCATAGGAAAGTTTGAATAAGACTAATAAGTTTGTTATTTTAGGTTGTAGCTGGAATTAAGTACATTCTTTTACTTGAGGTAGCCCCTACTGTATGTGCTAAAGATGTAAATACAGTAACCCCAGAGTTGTGCCCATTAAATACCAATGTACCATCTCAAATATGCCATATAACATATTGGCAAAAGCCATGGATAAGTTTGCAAAAGCACATAATTGCAAATAATTGTACAGTATCGCAAGAATTCACTGACACTACTAATCCCACATTTCCTAATACTCCAAAACGTCGGTATCCAGAAGATATAGATAATGAAATCGAAATTACAAATGCTTACGGTAATCGATACCCTTCAAAGATTATCGATAAAGAGCCTAACAATGTGCCTAATTTTGACGAAATAGCGAATTCAGGCCGTTTTGACATTGAAAATTCTGACTTCATAAGCCCATCAGCTCTTGCCAATATAGAGTCCCAAATTGAGTTTCACAAGACTCCTAAACAAGTACAGTCCGTTGAAAATGAAAACACTGCAAAACCACAAAGTTCTGAGGGTCCTGCAGAATCACCTTCTGGTGAAGTTCAAGTACAACAAATTGACTCAATCCCCAACAATAATGGAGAAGTGATCAGCAACAACAGTTCTACCAGTAGTGCTTTAAAGCTTGAAGATGTTCAAACGCAATTGAGAGAAAGTACGATTCCTGTAGACCACCAAAGAAGAAAAAGGTCACCAGCTGGTTCAACGAAAACATCATTCAAAAAAAGTAATCCTTACAATAAGCAGTGGCTCAGAATGTTAGCCAAATTTGTAGTTGAAGAAAAGCTTGGCCCAAATAGATGTGATGTTGTAGAAGTTTTGTACCCAAAACAACAGAAAAATGAGAAACTTGGAGGAGTTGTTTACTCATTTTTAATAAACTTGAAGAAATCAAAATCTGAAGAAATGGAATCATGTAAAACAAAAGTATTAATTCCAAACGACAAGTCAGAGAGGGAAATATTGAAGTTCAAATGTTATGATAACAAAAATAAAGGCAACAAGAAACTATCCAGAGTTCCCAGACAAATACCAGGGGGTGTTTGGGATGTGTCAGTATCAGACCCAATTATAAACGATCTTGCTCATAGTTCTCTAATGCAACTTAATCTACAATCGAGCCGGCCGAACAGGCTCAAAGTTATAGAGATTATTTCTGCACAAAAGCAGGTTGTTGCAGGTCTTCTTTATCACATCAAGACCAAGGTCGTTTCAACTGAGTGCAGCCCTAATGATCTTCAGGATTCTCACCAGTGTATTGAACTAGTAGGAGAAGGCCCATCTATCTGTGAAATTACCATCTGGGATAGACCATGGATACATGACGGTCGAGAAGTTAATATTACTTGTGATGACGACCAAGTACAGCATTCTTTTAAAACCAGTAGTGTCCGACACAAAGAAAAAAGATCTATAGAATCTAATAAAAATGAACATAATTCGTTAAAATATGAAGATCTATTTGATCACTTTGTAATCACTTTCAGTAAGAACTATGCTGACGAAAAAGAGTACAATTACCGTTTTAATGTTTTCAAAGAAAACATGAAATACGTCCATCTGTTAAACAAGTACGAGCAGGGCACGGGTAGATATGGGATAACAATGTTTGCAGATTTGACTCAAGATGAATTCAGAAAATATAAAGGATTTCGAATAGATTTGAAGAATCATAACGAAGTCGGAAACAGTTGGGCCGAAATACCGAACACAGTGGAGCTACCTATCGAATTCGATTGGAGAACTAAGGGAGCTGTGACTGAAGTAAAAAATCAGGGCACATGTGGCAGTTGCTGGGCCTTTAGCGTAACCGGCAATGTCGAAGGTCAGTTTGCCATAAAAAATGGGAAATTACTGGAATTTTCTGAACAAGAACTAGTGGACTGTGACACGATAGATGAAGGTTGCAACGGAGGACTAATGGATAATGCTTACCGGTAACATAAACGTTAAAACATTGTTTAAAACACATAATTATGTAATTTCATTTTATTTAAGCTCGATAGAAAAACTTGGTGGTTTGGAAACAGAAAGCGATTACCCGTATGAAGGCGAACAAGAGAAATGCCATTTCAGGAGCAGTTTGACTAAAGTAAAAGTTTCAGGGGCCGTCAACATTAGCACCAACGAAACAGATATGGCCAAATGGTTGGTTAAGAACGGCCCCATATCCATTGCCATTAACGCGAACGCTATGCAATTCTACTTGGGGGGCGTTTCTCACCCCTGGAAGTTTTTATGTGATCCTAAAAGTTTAGACCACGGAGTGCTCATTGTCGGTTATGGGATGCATAGTAAGTATCTGCATGTTTCTTTTTGGGTTCAGTATCAAAATGAAAAAGAAATGCGTATGCCTATTGACCAAAAATGTACACAAAAATTCTCGTTCCCCCTACTACCAAAATTTGCAGGCTGAGAAATTTGAAATAATTCACATTGGTCTCCATATTATGATTGTTATTCAGTTAAGTTAGAGCTAATACAACACAGGACCTCTGACGTTCAAAAGTGGTTCCCTATGAATTGTTTTGACCATAATTATTACCAGATTCTATATTTTACATTCAATTTATTTAATGATTTGGTTAGATCGAGATTACTTGTAAATGGTTAGTGAAAAGTTGCCTGGATCTGTTGCATCAGTTTATAAGTTGACATTTGTTTTTCCCTTTCTTATTGAATCTTTGTGAATTAAAGAGTCCAATCAAAACTGTATTTTTAATCTATTCTCCATTTCACCCCTTAGTTTGGATAATATTAAATAAAGCTCAAAGCAGTTAGAGTTGAAAGGTTTTTATTTTTGAAGAACCAACACCGACGTTTTGCCTGTATTAAAAAAAGTCTCGCAAATAGAGGCTAAACGTCGGTGTTGGTTCTTCAAAAATAAAATAAAAAACCTTTAATTGTCTTGAACTTTATTTAATACTGTATTTTTACGTTAGTTTCTTTATTATATCTATTGGCCCACCTATTCATTATTTGTATAATTTGTATTTTGAATTCTGGAGCCCGTCGTAAATAAATAAATAAATAAACAAAGAACTTAATAAAATGACAGGAACTAGTGTGGTATAATCTGGTTTATATCATCAGTTTGTACACGATGTATATAGGTATTAATACATTTTTAATATTACTTTTAGAATATCCGTACTTAAAGAAAACGTTGCCCTACTGGATCGTTAAGAATTCGTGGGGTAAGAGTTGGGGAGAACAAGGTTATTATCTGGTTTATCGCGGCGATGGCACTTGCGGGCTTAATCAGACTCCGTCCAGCGCTATTGTGGAATAATTGAGTAAAAGTTCTTAAAGATGGCTCTCTCCTTTTTTCAAACTAAGCAATACTCGAATTATATATATAAGTGCATAATTATTATAATCAGTCTTTCAGGTAGTACGTACCTACATAATTAACTATTATTAATTCATTAATATTCCGTAGAATAGCAAACTATTTTTCTACTAACTTGTTAAGTTTTCAAAATGCTTCTGAAAAACAGTCGCAATTGTGGGATAACAGTATAAAATAAAATTAAAATGGAATAAGTACTTTAGGTTGTGATTCTGATAGGTTACTTCAATCCACTGGTTAAAAATTATTGTGTGATATTTTATTATGTTTAGTAGCTAGCTTTTGTTTAGTTTAATTGAAAATTCTATTTGTTTTTTTGTTAAAAATGTGGAAGAAATTTTTGATCTGTAGGGTTCATCTTTGTTGCATATTTAAAAAAAGAAATTTGTTAAGTTTTTAAAATTTTGACTTTCAAATTTCCACGTTTTTCTGCAATACCGTAATAATTGTTAAATTATTAGTCGTTTTTTAATATTACCGAAAATATACCAAAATTCTGGTAATGTACTTATGAATATATTGTGTAAAAGTATAATTACACAACTCAAAATGATTGTCTTTCTTGGTGGCGGTTAAAACAATTAATATTTTGAATTACTTTTATTCATAAAATATGTTGGGCTTACCAAAGAAACGTGCCATGTTATTGTTAATTATTTATAATGAGTATTTATATAAATTATATTCAGTTATATTATTAAATCCTCCGTATATACATCGCCACTACAAGAATTTCAGTACAATTTACATAAAAGTATAACGAATTGTTCTCTTTTATTACTCATAATAATTTTATGTAATAAAAAAGAAATATTACTTAAATATGTAATAAATGCAAGAAAAACTATTATTAAAGTAATCTTGAATGTATGTATAATATGTATGGAATCATTGCTAAATTGAGCAATTTAGCTAAGCTACTTACTAAAAGGGAATATATCACTTAATCTGTTTTTTGTTGTAGTAGATTTTTATATAAACTAACAATAAATGTTTAGATAACCGATATAGTTATTTTTTATTTAAATACAATAATGTACACATACAGGTAAAATTCCTAAATAGTGATACAGTGCCACTTACAGTATTTTTATTTGGTGCAAATGTGATGGCTTACTATTTTTAATAATTTTGCAATTTTAAAAGGATGCATTTAAGTGCTCGAGCTTCGTACGTGACTGTCTGTTTGCCACTTATCTGATTTGCCTCTTCGGAAAAAGGCGAATATTCGATTGTCTTTACATTTTTGCCATGCACTTCAAAGAATAATGTTGTCATAAAATATAGAACAAATTCATCGTTCAACTAGTTGGCATTAAAAAAAACATTTTGTAACTTACTCTCGCAATTCTCAAGAAACGTAATGCACTCTTGCAATATCGTGTCTTTAAGTACGATCATATGCTTTGATAAGTTTTCTATCATACTGAGAAAGCACCGTTTGGTATAATACCATGTGTCTGTGCCCAGTTTTTTAGTGAAAGGTTCTAGTGATTTTATTATACGAGAAATGCCGAATTCGTAGTTTCCTTTTGAGCAGTAAAGAGTACTAAAATATGTATATTGGTTATGAACTACTAATAAAACATTATGTACATGTTATATAAACCGTTACTTTAATATCTTTTTTAACCACTTAAAAAGCAGTAAATATACAATAAGTAACTCACCCAATGACAAGGTTAATAATGCACAGATGAAAGCACTTCACTTCTGGGTCTTCTGCAATCAGTTGGTCCTCCTCCTTCTCCACTTTCCTCATAAGTTCCTCAGCTTCTTCATTTTGGGAGGTCATTATGTAAGAGACACACAGATTTGCCAAAACAACTGCACTTACACTTAACAACTAAAAATAACAAGAAAAATAAATTAATATCTATATAAAAAAATAGTTTTTAAGTAATTCATTTGTTAATTGGTTAATTTAACCGGACCACAGCAAAGAATTTGCCTATGTGCTGCATACATATATTTTTTAAAATTAACTGA